GGTCAGTGGTCTGGGGTGCTGACTGCGCGAGCATGAGGTCTGAAGTTCAGCTCTCAGATCCCGGCACCCACGAAATAAATGGGGCATAAATCTAACCACACCTGTGACCCCAGCACCCATTTAACAAAACGGGCATAATCCCACCCACACTGGTGACCATAGCACCCATATAACAAATTGGACATAATCCCAGCCACACCTGTGATCCCAACATCCATGTAATAAATGGGGCATAATCCCACCCACACCTGTGACCCCAGCACCCATATAACAAATTGGACATAATCCCAGCCACACCCGTGACCCCAGCACTGGGGGAAACAGAGACAGGAAACTCCAGCTCTTTTCAGAGAATGACCCTGCCTCAAAGGGATAACAGTGATCGAAGCAAACACTGTCCTCTGTCCTCCACCAAGCACACACACATTCACACAACAAAATTAAAGAGGAGAGGGTTGGCACCACCAGTTTTGGGTGTGAGACACACCATAGTGAGAAGCAGGTGGGACCAGAGGTATCATTTCATCCCATGTGAGGGGGGCCACATGCTGCAGCTGTGGCCTGGGGTTCTGGAGAGAGAACAGCAGGGAACCAGGAGGTGGTGGCTGGCGGTGGCTATGATAGAAGAGGGTTGTGGGGAGCAGAGTACTGGAGGCTGCAGCCTATGAGGGCACCAGGGGTGACTTGCTGGCCTGGGCTCAGGTGAACGGTAACACCAGATCCTGCCATTGGCACAGGAGGAGCTGGTGGCCTGACACCCTTCTGCTTGATGGGTTCCCTATTAATCTGCATCTCAGTGCTAAGCTAGGTTTTGCTTCACTGCCTGCCAAGGGGCGATGGCAGCCCCTGGCCAGCATCCTCTTACTTTGATACCTGTGGGCCCATGTCTCCCCAGCTCCCCTCACCACATGGAATGGGGGCTCCACAAAAGGCAGACCCTTGGAGCAGACTGGGCTCGGGAGGGACTTGTCCGGGAGACACCATCCCCGGACACCTCTGGGCACCCTCCCACCAGACCGGCATTCCCTGAATTGAGAAACACGTGCAACAGCATGATTGGCGGCACTCAGTGACCCTTTCCCTGACAGGTGGGACAGGCTCTGAGGACAGTCTTCTGCAGTCAGACTCCACTGCTGCACAAGCATGCCTAGAGAAACATCCAGAATGCACTTGCCCAGCTCAAAGACCCAGGGTGGTGCCCGGCATCTGGGGCTCCAAGGGTCCTGGAAGAAGGGCATGGCAGAGGCCTACCGCACAGCCAACGGGAAAGCATTTTACTGACTCAAGGTGACTCCAAGCCACGATGCTGAAAGTGACGTCCACACCCTAAAGGATTCACCTCCCTCTACTAAGGGTGCTCGGCTGCAGTCCTGACACCCAGCCATGTACCATCCTCTACCTCCCCAAGCCACACTGCTCAGATCTGTATTCCCCAGGGACACACTGGAAATCCAGGGGAACCAGAATCCGCTAGCTTCTTGGTCTTAGCCTCAGGCTGACCCCTAGGGGACAGCTGGGGTACAGCAAGGTGCTGGTTTGCCTCTAAATGACCCCCTCTGAAGATCCTGCCTCCGAAGAGCTCTGGTTTTGCCCCATCTGGCTGGTTTGGACACTCAGGAGCCCACAGGAAGGAGCTGGCCCAGGTCCACCATCCTGTCTGGTTCAGCAGAACAAACCAGGTCACCTACCATGTCCACCACCTCAGCTGGGTGCTCTGGCCAGCTGAGCCACTTGTTAGCCCCAGAGCCGTGTGGAGGACAGAAAGGGGGTTCCCCAGAAGAGCCCCAAACACACTCACATTACACAATCCCACGGGAAAGAGTGGGGGGTGGCTGTGATGTCTGACCTCCCTCTTTCTACCTCCCTGGAACCTCTGGATTTTGGAAAACAACAACAATACACCGCTTTACAAAAACATTCCTTCTTGGGGGGTCAGGACCCCCAACCCTGTTTCTCTTTACTAAATGTGCCATCTTTTCTGGCCTTGGTCGTGACAGCATGGGTGCCACAAAAGCAGCTGGAGCCACGGGAGCATGCCCCTGCGCCTGGGGAGCCCGGGCCTCAGTGCTCTGTTTCCCAATGTCTCAGCACATGCTCCGTTTTGACACGCTTTTGAAACATCGGAACCCAGGGGTAAAAGGGATGAAGAAGAGGCTTGGGGGTTGGGGGCAGAGGTTAAGTCAGACCTAGACTGGTTGAGCAAGTCTTGCTTCACAGCCAAGGAAGCTGCGGCTCTGATATGTTGAGGGGAACTTGCTGAGGCTGCATGGCTGGCCAGTGGCCAGACTGAGGCATGGGCCCCATTTTAAATGATGGTACAGCCTACTCACTCCTGCACCCTCCACAAAGGCTGGACCCCAAAGGACTCCCGGGTCACTTAGTGTCTGCCATGCTGGGGGTTCTCCCTCCCAGATCTGGTTCCACTGGCCCTAAATACATCCACTCCCATGCACTGGGCCCAGTAAGACAGACCTGGAACCCTCAGCTTACACAGGAGCCCCAGTTATCCTGGCCCACTTCGAAGGGGGTCTCATGTTGAGCACAGTCTGGACACCTGACCCCTACCCTGGCCCCACACAGGCTGTGGCTTTAGTCTCTGCCACCTGCAAACTGTTAAATAAAATTTACAGGTGGCCCCTGGTGTGTGTGACCAGGCCTCTGCGCTAAGCAGACCGGATCTAAAGAGCCTGGTTTGTGATGATGTTTCATGCCATTAAAACTGAGACTAAGCTCTGATGTGGCCTCCCCAGAAACCAGGAGAGTTTTAGCTGGCACAATAAGGAAATCCCCTGCTCCCTTAACCCTTTCAAAACAGCGGTCTGAGGCTGGCCAATCAGCTTTTTGTCCCTACTATTCAGTTTCCTTGTTCCTGTGATACCTAACACTACACGTGCTTAAGAGATCTATAAAACTTTAAAGCCTCTAACCTGTAAGCCCACTTGCCCAGGGAAGGATAACTTCCTGGAACCCTGGGGGCTGTTCATGTAAGACAACAAGCCGGTGCTTTCACTTCTGTACGGAAGCTTAGTTGCCCCAACTGCACAGGATGTGTGCTTGATCCCACGAAGGAGGGAGGTGCATAGGCAGGAAGTATGTCAGGATGCATGCTTGCCCCTGATTGGATGAAGGCAGGAAGTATGTAGTCTCCGGGTTTGCCTTGATAAGCCTCTGTCCAATGTAATTCAGGGCCATACTCTGAGCATGAGTCTCAGGTATGGACCTGGCCAGTATCCATGGTCCTAGTCAGTGTTTAGTAAAGCCTCTTACGTATTAAAATTTATTCATGGTCAGATTGGTGAATCTCTGAACAACCCCAGACCCGTAGCAGTTCCCACCTTACAAACTACTGTTCCTGCCCTGGACCTGTGTGTTAGACCTGCTGTCTCTGTGGCAGAGGCCTAAGAAAATCAAGAAAGAAAGGGAGGGAGGGAGGGAGAGAGGAAGGAAGGACTTATTTTGGCTCATGGTTTCGGAGCCTCCCTGGGATCCATTGTTTGGAGCCTGAGGTAAGACAGAGCAATGTGGTAGCAGGAAAGTGTGGCAGAGGCTGCAAGCCTCATGAAGGCCAGGAAGCCTGCAGGGATGGGGAAAGGTGTGTGCGGGGTGGGAACCTGGTCTGTCTGCTTTCCCCTCCCTGTCCTTCAATTCCAGCCTGTGGGATGGTGTTGCCCATTTATCCAGGGCAGAGCTCCTTTTAGTTAACACTCTCTGGAAACACCACCCTGTTAGGGTTCTGCCACTCCTCCAGCTATATGGCCACACATGTGCAGTTCAGAAGCTAAGCAAGGGGTCTTACATCATCCGTGCGCTGCATGATTACGTAATGTGCACAGCGTGGTCACGCAATCTGTGCATCTGTGGCGTAGCTCTGTAAACCCAAAGGAGCATGTGCAGGAGAATCCTTAAAAAGCCGGTCACAGACTCCTCCTCTCTCTTCTGCTCTCTCCTCCTCCCCCATCTCTCCCTTCTCCTGCACATGTCCTTCACAGGCCTGGTCACTCTCTTCTGTCCCGTACCCCCCCCCCCAACCTCCTCCTAATTAAGCTCTGATACTGGGTTTTGTCGTGCCTCGTGACCTTTTCCCACGGTAACCAGAGCCATGTATTTAAAACCAACACACGCCCCATACATACACACACCCTGACATGGCCCTTCCTTATCTAGGTGCTTCTCAATCTGGTGAGGCTGACAGGATCAATCATGATAATCTAGGTAAACAATTACCACCAGGCTACACCCCAGCCTGATCATCACGATTGATCGTTAGATTATTTATACTTTTGTCTTGACAGTGCCTTGGCCTTCTCCAGCAGTCCGCTTGGCCACCCTCAGCATTGTGGGACCCCTTACAGGTCCCCATCCCCCAAGTCCTGCCCACCGAAGCTCACTTGGACTCCACCACCCGAAGCATCCAGAGGTCCTGGTCATCAGCTAGTGTGGTCTAGGCTTCTTTCATTTTCCAGGGGGAGTGGCCTCAGGATGAAGTACTAACCCAGAGCCAGACAGGTTTTGGGGCTGACTTGGGTGAGGAACCAAAACAGGCCTCCTCCAGCAGGAAGGTTCCCTGGAGACCACAGACAGTGCATTTTACAAAGCTGTGTTTGCAAAAACAGTTCAGTGACTCAGTTTCTCCTCAGCAACACCGGTAAGATGGAGGAAGATACTGCGTGGCCCGGTTCCTATTCCTCCATGCCTCCCTAAGGGCTGCACTGTGCCTGTCCCAAAGTGATGTCTCTTTTCTCGTTTTAGTTTGAGACAGTCTTGCTATGTAGCCCAGGCTAGCCTCAAACCTGTAGCAATCTCCCTGCCTCAGCCTCCTAAGGGCTAGGATTAGAGGCATGTACCCAGCTCTCCCAATGTGGGTTTTTGACTTTGATGCCAGAGGGCCATCGGGGGAAGTCCCAGTCCTTGGAGATGCCGCACAGCCAAGCCCCGGTGCCAATGGCAAGAAGGATAGATAGCCAAGCGCAGGAGGCACGGAGGCCATCCACGGCCCTTACCTGCTCCACACAGTCCGGGATCTCTGGGGAACATGGCAGGGTCCCCACGCTCTCCACTGACAGCACGTCCTTCAGTAGCTCCTCGCACCCTGTGGACAGACAGACAGACCGTGAGTGGTATGAGCCTCAGCCCGCATGGCTGATCTTCTCACTAATGGGCCTTGGGAGGAACTGATGGAGGACACAGGTGGCCCACGTCTCCAACACGGTGTCAGGGGAGGAGACTCCCAGCTATGCGGGGCTGGTTTGCAGAACGACACAAGGCGTCGGGAAGGCACCTGATGAGGGACTTCTTCTGTGGGACTAATCCCGGTGGGGACACAGAGAGGAGACACAAATGCAGAAGCAGGCCGAGTGCAGGGGAGCACCTAGGCTGGGAAGTACTCCCCTCTGCATACAGGGGCTACCTGCCACATTCCCTACCGACTCCCCCGCCCCGAAACTCTAGACAGGGCCTCCCTTAGGAGGTCGGCAGGCTCTTACACCCTGCTGAGCCCGTCACACAGGTGGACCAGGGGCCCAGCACAGGGCAGGAGTGGTCTGAGCCGGTCCACAGAACCAAACAAATCTCTGTAGAAATCTTAGTAGGCTTTCTGTGCTGCCTCAGTTTCCCCAGCGAACTCTGTTCCCCTCTCGCTTCTGCTTCAGAATTCTTGCTCCTTTCCTACTTCCTGGAACTCCGAGGACGCTGCAGGGATGTGCTCGCCCAGACCTCACCACAGAAGGGAGAGCCTGGCTGCCTTCACAGGTGACAGGATTTCTCTGGAAGGAGCTGCAAGTTCTCCCGGGGGCCAGGGGGAGGCCTCAGAAGTCCTCCTGGCCGCTCAGGGGCTGGAGGGAGTGTGAGGGAAGGTTGAGTACCAAAATTCTGATTTCTACGAGTTTCTCAAAACTGACCTTGGAATTTTGAAAAGGAAAAAAAAAAAAAAAGGAATGGGAGAAGGAAGGAATTAGGAAAGGTTAAGAGGAAAGAGGGCAGTTAATAAATAAGGGGCCCCTAAGAGAAGAGAGACATGGCAGCCAGCTCCACCCAGCTGTGGCCAGACCTGGATTCATTTGACTATTTTTCCCCTCCCATTGCTGGCTGGGGAGCCCAGAGCTTTGCACTAGTTAGGCAAGCTCTGGACCACTGACTGAGCAGACCCCAGCCCTCCCCCTGGAGTGGGAAGTTGGGGAAACTCCTCTGGAGCACAGCCATGCCAGCAGGAGAGGGTGTCAAGAGGAGAAAAGCCGAGAAGAACAGTTCTCCAGAAGGGCAGAAAGGCCGACCTGCCCCTGGTGATGGGGACCTGTGGCGGGGGTTCAGAGAGAGAGAGCCATGGCGCCATGCACTACCCACGCCCAAGACCTTTCCCTTCAGCCCGCATGGGTCACTAGGAACAGAGCCCATTTCTGGGACCCACCTGGGCTCTGGGACCCCCATGTGCTGGCCTCCTAGCCAGATAGGACCCCGAAGAGGACCTCACCTTTCATGGCGAACACTCCTCGGCAAAAATCCTTGAAGTTGATTCTGCCCAGGTCATTGGGATCCAAACACTTCACAAGTTTTTCCACCTTTGGGGAGGAAAGAGGACAGGCGTGAAGCACCCTGGACACCCCAAAGTCCAGGACACTGGGGCAGAAGGTGGAGCGGAGGGGGGTGGATCTCGACAATTAAGCCAAAGGGACACCAGTGTTACCAACTTGGTCTTTTCGCCTGGGATCATGTTATTCTCCTCTGTTTAAGATTCAAGTAAGAAAAAGTAAAGAGGGCCTCATCCGTGTAGGGTGTGGTCCCACAGGCTTCTCCAGACCTGCTCCAAAGACAGCACTCTGCTACCAGGTCACTGTTTGTCTATTTTGTAGACAGGGTCTGGCTATGTAGCCCAGGCTAGCTTAGAACTGAATTATCCCAGAGCTAGGTCTCCAGCCTATGAAGTTCAGCTTCTTGACCTTTTTTTTTTTTTTTTTTTTTCAGAATTAGCTTGTACCTTGGTAACAGCTTTCCAAAACACTCATTCAGCCATTTACTCATTCATTAAACAACTGATCACTGCGTGCCTCCTATTTGTCTGATACTTGACTAATGTTGATGGTGGTAGCTAGCTAGTTACACATGGTCACATGGATACACACCCACACTCATGCACCCCATTAGGCAACATTCCCCTAGTCATCATCATCTTCGGAAACCATCATCCATGGCAGGGTGAGGCTCTTGGTGATGCGGTGGCTCTGGGGTTACCCATGCTTTGTAGGTAAGCCCAATAAACTCGGTGGCTCCCTGGTGACCCACACCATGCAGAACAGGTGTTTATGTCTATCTTCCTCGGGAAAAGGTTCACAAAACAAGGACAAAGTTCTTTCTGGAATTCCCTCTGGCTGTGCTGCAGGTGATGGTATGAGAGCGTGCTGGGAACACAGACGTGGCATGCAGGACAGGGACCTGTTACTGTTGTGGGGTTGGCACCATCGCAGGCAGGCCTGTCCTCCAGCCCACTCTGCTTGTCACCTGTGGCAAAGCACAGGCAGGTGGGAAGACTCACAGACTGTCCTCCCGCCCATCCACAGCATGGCAGCTGCAGCAGGCATCTGAAGCCCGGGTCCCCGTAGTTAGTCCAGAATCAGGGACGGGGCCCAGTGGGCTTCAGTGAGCCCAGCTCCTACCACAGCTACCTCTCCATCCCCGAGCATTGGGGCTGTGTGCACTCTATTCCAGCTAGCCTTGCTTTTCCACTCTGCGGAGTCTGAGACTGGGGGATAACCAACCCAGAGGCTATGCAATGTCCTAAGATGTTTCTGAACCTGGTACCCAGTGGACCATCCCTCGGATCCAGGCATCCCCAACTCTAAGGGTAGGATGCTGTCGCAGAGGTCCAGAGAGACCCATAGCCCTGTGCGCTACCCGTGGCTGAGGAAGTCCCAGCCCCTTCCCCTCAGTCTCCATGGGGCTGTAGAATTCCACGGAAGAGGGAAGAGGCTTTTTGCCAGCTCAGGCCTGGCCAGAGCACCCCCACATTACAGCTGTCAGCCCGACCCCACCCCCACTACCACGGAAGCCACTGACATTGCCAGGCAATGACATGGCTTCTGAGAATAACGCTGCCCAGGTGCCACCTGCAGGCTGTGGGGGCGCTCCCCACAGCTCCAGCTGGCCACCCTCCTCCTCTCCTCCTGCCACCCTCCCCGCCATACAGAGAGCCCGAGAATGTAAGGAGGGCCTGGGACACCCTGGCCCCCGCCTCCCCCCTCCCAGCCTCTAGGACCTTACCCCTACAGCCCTCCCCAAGGTCAGGGGCTCTGCCTTAATTATTTTGGGAACAAGCCCAAGGCACTTACTTACTCCAGAGTGCTCAGTGGCTGAAGGGGAGCCCCAGCCTCACATGCTATGAGGCACAGCAGGGTTCTGTAATCCAGGGGACTGGGAGTCTTTAAGCCCCTGGGTCTGGAGACATCACTGGGCCAGGCTATCCATCCTCTGAATTCCAGAGAAAGCTAGTACAGAGGTGGGGGCTGGGGGGTGTCTGAGGACAGACAGATAGATGTGAGGGTCTAAGAACCACCAGATAGTCCACGGCAGTGGTTCTCGACCGTTCTAAGACTGTGACCCTTTAATACAGTTCCTCAAGCTGTGGAACCATAAAATTATTTCTGTTGCTACTTTGTAGCTGCCATTTTGCTACTGTTGTGAAGCATAATGTAAATATCTGATATGCACCCCTGTGAAAGGGTCTTTTGACTCCCCCAAAGGGGTCGGGACCCACAGGTTGAGAATCTATGGATATATTCCAGGCTACAGTTAGGAGCTCACAATTTCTATGACTCCCTTCTCTACAGCTACTCCCAAGAAGCTCTCAAGGATGGCAGTCCTAGGGAAGTGGCCACGTATACTATAAGACAGCGTTGTGGAGACAGTATAATCAGTAAATTTTTATATCACATGCAGTTAGCATCCATAAAGACCACAACAGTGGTTACAATGGCTTTTTAAATGAGACTCTAGCAGCGTTGTGTAGAAAGGGGTGAAAAATCCTTGCTAGGCCCACGAGGGCTCCCCGTGAGCCACTGAAACAGTAGCTGCTATGACAGTCCCCACGCTACGGTTGAGGACATTGAGGATCAGATAAATCAAGCCCCTTAGGCAGCCACCAGCAGTGGCAGCTACTGAACCAGGTCTTCCTGACCCTAGAGTATCAGCAGCTGAAATCTACTGCTACTCTGCCCTATGCAAGGTGTGTGGCCTCTGCTGGGCCAGAGCCAGGCTCTCCCCGGCCTGTGTGTGTCAAGTACTGATCCAATTCCCCTAACTCTGCCTATGAAGACAGCTCTCGGCTGGGGGTGTCACTGTGTGGGCATGGCATGTGCAAGCCCTGGCCTCTCTCCCTAAGATGGTCAAGGAAGAGAAAGGTGCTGTATTTGAAGTCAGCCTAGGCTACCAAAGAGACCCTGTCTCAGAATACAAACAAAGCCAGCAAAACCCAAACACACAAAACCCTAAAAACACACAGAAAGGGGAGCGGACCTGGGGGGTGGGTGCACGCCCGATTTTGACACTGGTAATCTGCACTGCATCTGGGGCTGTGTCTGCTGACCTGGCGAGGGAGCCAAGTCCCAGGGAGGGGAGGGGGCTCCCTCCTGGCAGGGAGTACAGCAGATGACACGGATACCCAGCGGGTGTGGATGTCACACAGTCCTGGGCGCCTCTGGCTCCCACGGGAGGAGAAAGCAAGCTCCAGGCCTGGCAGGGATGACAGGGACAGCTGAGTGCGCACAGCTGGACCAGCAGCTGGCTGCCAGGGGAACTGGTGCCTCTGCTGGCAGAGAACTGCGGGTCTTTCGTACTGGGAACCATCCAGTTACCAGGCTTCCCCCCACCCCCACCCCTTTCTATTGCTCCTCTCTTCAGGCTGAGTTTCTCCATTCATCCCCCACAGTCACCTCTTTCTGATGGAAGGATGCTGTGAAGCTGTGAGCCACACTGTGGTCTGCTTACCAGCAAGATCTCCTCCTGACCCTGGCTGGCCTCCCACACCTCCCCCATGCAGGCCTGGCAAGGCGGTGGCGAAGGCTAAGCAGCCTTGCTCCTGGAGGTCTCAGCCGCCTCTTTGAACAAGGAGATAAGCAGGCTTAGCTGTGGCTCTCAGCACCTCCAGGCGCTGAATAAATATTAGCCATTCCTACCAGAGCAAGTGCCAAGGAGCAACTGCCTTTGTGCCGGGCACTGTTCCGTCACTCTCTAGACAGAGTGGTTTCAGCCTCCCAGGCCTCTGGATCCCAAACAGAATTCTTGTTCCCATTTCATAGATGAGGAAATATGCAAGGCTCAGGCATTCCGGGGTAAGGACATACAGCCATGAGGAGGCAGCTGAGCCCAGGCGACCCCCAGTAATTATTGCTACTGAAATAATTATAATTACTTATAAGTTCAAGGGCTTGCTCCAACTAGAGAAAGAACAAAGCAAAGAAATTTTGACTAGAAAAACTGGCACCAGTACAGGGAACCCTTGCTTAAGAATTTGAATATTAAAGAAAAAATTACCGCTGAAAGAAAGGTTGCCAACCAGCATCCCAGACAGACTGCAGACTTCAAATCTGTTACAGGGATGCCCACATTAAAGTTGGAGGAAGAAGGGCGTGGTGGTATGCGCCGTGACCTCCAGCCCAGCCTAGTCCACACAGAGAGACCTGTCTCAAAGCAACCCCCCCCCCCCAAACAAATAAAATCAACCAAGGGAAGACGCCCAGCTCTGGGTGAGCCAGAGCAGGCATCCCAAATTCCATCTCTCCACTGCGGAGCACAGCATGGAGGACTTAGGGAGATGGGACTGTACGAGGTGAACTGAGGGAAAAGAGAAGCTTGCATGTGCGGGGGTGGTGGTGGTGGTGGTGGTGGTGGTGGTATCTTTACTTTTCCTATTTCCTGTGCCGCAGATGTGAAGAGAGAGGGTTCTAAAGGAGCCCTCTTCCTGATGCAAAGCTGGGGAAGGTCCTGTCCGAGACACAAAGTGAGGAAGACGCCCTAGTTGTTTCTTTCTCTCTCCTCTCTCTCTCTCTCTCTCTCTCTCTCTCTCTCTCTCTCTCTCTCTCTCTCTCTCTCTCTGTCTGTCTGTCTGTCTTGCTAGTTCGTCTTTCCCACAAGGCAAACTCAGGTGACAGCAGCAGCCACACAGTATGTGAGCATGGCGTGGTAGAGCAGTGAGGGATAGATAGATAGTCGTGGGGGGGGGGAGTAGGAAAAGGAGGCCCTGGGAACTGGACAGGGCGGGACACTGAGAAGGCAGAGCTCGGGAGTGGATGAAGACCCTTAGAGCGAGGCTGAAGTCCTGAGCCCCGCCCTGAGCTGCAGGGGTAGCGAGCTGGTCAGTTCAGCACTGAGCTGCTGACCGGGGAGTGGAGCGGCCCAGCCCCGGCGTGCATCCTTTGGGCCCTGAAGAGCCTGGCAAAGGCTCTGAGGCCTGAACTGGCTAAGTTAGAACAGCTGCTTAGAGGACGAGTGGGGATGCCAGGCTTCCACCTAACTGGACTAATTTCCTAATTAAAAACAAACCCACACCACACTCTCTCTCTCTCTCTCT